ATTCCATCCATTCGCTTCTCCATTACATCCTTCACCGTATATGCTGATAATCCCTCCGCGCATATCAGGAACAAATATGGGGATAACGGTCCCTCTACCAGAGTCCTATCTCGGCTGAAAGCACGATGACTAATGGCCATTTACTAACACAAAAAACAAGACTGTGCTAACGCATGGCATTATCAATTTCATCCCTTGGGGACTACCCGGACAATATACAATAGGAGTGACTCGAAGACGCCAAAAGGGGGCTCTAGGGGGATTATCTCCCTCCTATATCAAAAGCTCAATACATGAAAATGGAAACCCAACTCATGCCATTCATAACAGCATCCATCAATTAAGTAAAATCATCAATCAATTATGGAGTTTGTCACATACATCAACATTAAACCCAAATCTAGACCTAGGGTTCTTAAACCCAAGAGAAGAGGGTGAGTTTCTAGAGGGAGAGAGAGGAGAGATTACAAAGAAACCTCTAGATCTTCTTCTTTTTCTAAGCTTGATTCCTTGCTTTCAAGCTTGATCAATGCATTCAATTAAGCTCCAAGATCACTCTCTCACTCTCTAGAACTACCCTTTGGTGTTTTGGGTCGAAACCCTAGAGAAAAAAGTGTTCCTTCTCCAACCCCCCCCCCCCATTTCTTCTTCCTCTACTGCTATTTTTATACCCAGATCGAGCCCAGTTCGCGGCCTCTGTTCATGGTCGTGAACACCTTAACGCGTCCGTGAACTCGATGCACTGGATCAAGACGCATCGCTTCACTTCTGGGTTTCACGGTCTATGGCTCCAATTCACAGTCTCTGAACTCCCTTGGCGTTAGTAACCTCTGAAACCTCGTTGGAAGCCTCGCTGTTCATGGTTTCTCGGTCAATGGCTCCAATTCACGGTCTTAGCGACTGTGACAATTGCGTCCAAACTGTGAATTTGGACGTTTTTTTCACTTTTTGGCACTTCTCGACGTCCAATCGACCCGAACCTTGTCCTCGACCTTCCCACACGTGCTAGGACCTGAAATGTATCAAAACAAGCACAACCTAGCATGAAATATGTCGAGGGACGATGAAATGCAAAGTCAAACTATCAAGATATGAGGGGTAAAACGTGTACAATTGGACCCGAATCACTTCTAATCCGAATTTCAGCAACAATTCTCCTCCTCTCTATGGATTGCTACTCGTGCCCACTAGGGCAGAGTGCTGGTAAAGGTCTTGTACAATTCGTGTAGGCCTATGCCCCTTGAAATACCCGACCGGGTAAAGCTGTTTTGGACGCCAATTATCCAGAAGGGGACCCGGCCGTGGAGCTAAATTACCCGATCGGATATTCTAGACCTCGATCGGGTATTAGCCCTTATCCAGTGCGCAGTGTTTTACCCGGCCAGTCACCTGAAATACCCGAACGGGTATTATGGCCGGGTATTGCGATCTGCTCCCTTTTGAGGGAAAGAAGGCCTCTTTTGAGAGGGATCCGATTTTGAGAGCTAGAGAGCAGAAAACCTAGAGAGAGAAAGTGACAAACAGAACTTCCAAGTGCCATAATCGATCTTCAACACCATTGGAGCTCGGTGGAAGCTTGGAGGAGTGTCGATTGATTACCATAAGCAGATCCTCATCCTTCACAGTATGAATTCCGCATCTGAAGCAGATTTTCCTTCACTCTCTATGAAGTAAACTCCTTTTCTCACCTGGGTATGAAGAACCCTAGATTTGTATGTTAGGTCTGGTTGTATGAACCCAAGTACGAATTCTTTGATACTGATTATATTCAATTGAGGCATGGTTTTCTGAATTGCATGAATCCTGATCAAATTCCTGTTATTCCTGCTTTGAACTAGAATGAGAATATCTGCCTAGGTTGATAGAGCACCCTTGATTGAAGGTAGTGAATTGACGACTTCAGTCGAGGAGTCGATTCACTATTCTGTACTGGATTTATTCCAGTAGAGGAGGTTTGGTACGTTAGGGCCTCAGTCTGTTTACCCCGGTGGAGGTTAGTCGCCCGCTGGAGACTCAGATTGAGAGGGTCTGGAGACCTTTAGTCGAGACTGTAGACTGTCTAAGAACCTCCCACAGTATAATTATCATTGAATCTGAACTTGGCAAATTACAACTTGGCTTGACTGCAGTCTAGGGGGAACCATATCTGGGTGACCTCTATCGAACTTGGAACACAACAGTTACTGCTTTTGTTTGCTGTTTAGTTGGACCTGCACTATAGTTTCAACGCTAAATAATAATAATCTCACGAAGTAGTCATCACATCTAGGACCCGGGTTGACATTTAGAAATAAACCCGCTATACTACGCATTAGCAGGTCGTTATACTTGGCCACTTTCTAGGTGATGGTACAAGCTAGTCAATTATATTTTCATCTAACAGCTAGAAACATCATTAGCATGGTGTTAACATCCTAACATGTTAGCACCTAATCTCATTCTATTGAACTCCGTTTTTGGTAAAATGGAGCTCTCATATGATATCTTTGAAGCCAAGTCATTAATACTTCTGAGAAAAAATTCTTTTAACTCCTTCTAAATACATAGGGTTAACAATTAGGGTTTGAGGAAGTCAGGATGGCCTCACTCTCTTCAATTGATGTAGCCCTTCACTGGAATTTCCATCGAACTGCAGCGGACCTGCCTTTCCGAAGATCCCTCAACACTCAAGCTCTGTCCTTATTTAAGATTAGGACGTTAGGGGATCCTTCAATGCTCCAGCTCATTGTTGCAATCGTCACTGTCACCATAGAACCATGAAAGGGTTTTCAGAAAGTAATGATTGAGAGCTACAGAAAGCAACAACCTTATTTATCACGAACCTGGTAGAGAGAACAGAGCCTGAGAGAGATGAATGGAGTTGGGATCAAGGTTCTGAGTAGGGAGAGGTGCTACGACAATGATGATGAAGACTTTAAAAGAACATTATCCTCTGCATTTTAGTAGGGAGAGGTGCTACGACAATAAGCAAAACCACATTTTTTTATTATTCATTTATTTTTAAAATTAAACATAAATATTATATATTAGGGAAAAATAAATTGAGTTTGAGTTAAAATTTTATTCTTCATTTCTTTTTATGATGATGTGGTGCGTTGATCGTTAGTCAATGGCGTTGACCGTCCAACTTGACAATCAACCCAAGGGTTGGGCCAAATTAATATAAATGGTGCAATGTTTGGGACATGATGTGTCTTTTTTTAAATTCGGTCCAAGTTAGTTTATTAGTGTAAAGTTTGGGCTATTTTCAGGTATGAACCCAATAATTATCACATAAACAGGATATTATAGAGAACATTGACACGCTATTACACAAGACCAAACTACGACCAAGTATAATCGCAGTCCGGAAATGCAGAATAGTGGCAAGTTCAATTTATCAACCCGGGGTCTAGATCTACTGCCTACTCCGTGATTATCTATTATCTAGCGGGACTAAGTTTAGTGAGAGTGATTGTAAACAAAAGCAGTAAGAAAATAGGATATTGTCGAAGTTCTTAAGCAAAGGAAGAGTCACTCGGGAATGAGTCCCCCTAGCTCCTTAGTTAGGTCCAAGTTGTAATTTCCTTTGGTTCATTTACTGTTGATTAAACTGCGGATTATCCTACAGTAGTTTGGAATCTCTTACGCAGACCAAGCCCTCTTAGACAGACTAACCGGCAGACGACTAGTCTTCACCGGGAAAGAAATCTAAGGCAATTAACACAGAACTCCATACTGGAATTGAATTCCAGTACAAAGCAGTGACTTGACTAACTCTCGTATAATCAATCCACTCCTATCAATTGAAGAAGCTCTAACAACCTAATCAGATTCTATCTATCTCAGGTTGCAGCAGGAATCAAGAAAAGTTGATCAGGCTTCAATTGACTCAATAAACACACTTCAATCGATTATAATCAAGCAGTATCTCAAACCAAAAGTAATTACAATCAGGATCCCTAACACATGGAACTAAGGTTCTTCATACCCAAGTGAGAGGGAGTTCTACTCCATAGAGAGAGAGAAATGGAATTCAAAGCAGTCATACTCATAACGATGGGAAGAATCTGCTCTGGGATAATAATCTTCACTCCAAGGACGAACTCCAAGCTTGATTGATGAAACCCAGCTCCAGAATCAATCCTAGGGTTTGTTCTTCACACTTTCTCTCTCTAGGACTATGTTTTTGCTCCAAAAAGTTAATTCTCCTCTCCAAAACCCAAAATTGGGTTTTTATGCATATGCCCGCGATTGCACGGCCAGACCGCACGACAGTGTAACCTCATAGTCTGCCCGTGCACCCGCCAAAATGCGATGTTTCATTTAATTCCACCAGGGGGGTGCACGGCCATTGCACGGCCCGTGCAATGCGAGAGTCTGGCCGTGCAATCCTCTCGCAGAAATCAGCACGGCCACAATTACATCGCGCACGGCCGTGCGAAAAACAGGGTCAGGTCGTGGAGCTTCTCGGTAAATCCTGCACAGCCACAAAGGCCACCATGCACAGTCGTGCGCTTTCCTGTCCTGGTCGTGCAACTTGTCTGATCTCCCTTTGCTCGTCCCGATTTCACCCAATCGACTCCAAACTCGTGCTCAAACCTTCATTCACGCATTAAGACCTGAAATGTCATAAACAAGAACAACCTAGCGTAAAATCGGCTTAAAACCCGAGATTCGAGCCTCAAACAGTATAAGAATGACGGACAAAAACATGTGCAAATATCGAGTCATAAACATATATAGAGAAAGATATATATTTGCTTTTGTGTGTCTTCCTCTTCTCCAAGTCTATTTAAACTTGCGGGGAAAACATATAGACTTTGAGCAAGCCTTGAAATCATGAGGGGAAATTTGGAGCATGGTTTACGGTTAATTTCGGTTGGTTTACTGGTCTATTTAAACTTGGTCTGCCGTTCGGTTCGAGTTATTTTTAGCTTAATCAGCAAGTGTTCGTATGAGGCGCGGGAGAGATTAAACAAAACTCTACCCGACGAAGGCAGCAATCGTTAAGCGGGAGAATCTGACATCACCACGCGTCTTTCTTCTTAGTTCCCACAAAAAACCGACACGGTTTCCTTTTCCCAATTTCCTTCGACTGCAAGAGTTCCCCCATTCTTCTTTGCTTAATAACCAACAGTTCTCCAATTTTTTCCTTCGCCCTCATCACCTAAAAACCAACCAATTGATCAATTTGCTTCCAAAGCTCGAAACTTTCCTGAAAAATGGAGGCTTCAAGGAAAAATCCCCTGTACCCAGAAGTAATCCTCTCCAACCCCGAAAGACCTATTGCCACAACCTCTTCCTCTTCCGCTCCCTCCGCCCCATCTCTTTACCCGACGATCTACATGTCGGATCTCGCCGAGAATCTCTTCGCCGAGAACGAAGCCGCCCTGGCGGAGCCGGCTCCACACGAGGAGCTTTTGATCAGGATCCCGGGCGCCATAGTGCACTTGATTGAGAAGGACCACAGCGTGGAGCTGGCCTGCGGGGCTCTGGACATAGTTACCTTCAAGCAGGGGGGAACAGTCATCGCGGCATTTTGTCGAATAGGTGGCGACATTCAGTGGCCGCTGGCGAAAGACGAGGCCGCAGTGAAGCTCGACCAGTCCCACTACTTCTTCTCGCTTAGGGTTCCTTCGGGGAGTCAAGAATTCAGTGATGAAGAGGAGGAATCGAGGGGAAGTGGGAATCAATTCGAGGTCTTGAACTACGGTGTTACCTTTGCGTCGAAAGGGCAGGAGGGTTTGTTGAAGGAATTGGATAGGGTGTTGGAGAGTTACAGTGCGTTTTCGGTTCAGGAAGTGAGGGAGAAAGGGATCGATGGGAATGTGGCCAGGGAGACTACGCCAGAGGAGTTTGGGAAAGAAGGGAAGAAGAAGGAGTTGATGAAGGAAAACTCTGCGGCTTATTGGACTGTTCTGGCACCAAATGTGGAGGATTACAGCAGCTCCCTTGCTAGGATGATTGCGGCAGGATCGGGGCATGTGATCAAGGGGATTCTGTGGTGTGGGGATGTGACTACTGATAGATTGAAATGGGGGAATGATTTCTTGAAGAAGAGGTTGAAGAAAGGTGACACTGTGGAGGTCAGTCCAGCAACTCTGAAAAGGATCAAAAGGTGAGACTGAGAATGATCTCTTTCTTCTTGAAGTAATTTGTTTCTAGTTAGACTGATAGTTGCTGCTAGATTTAACGGGGGGAAGTTAAAAGCTTTACATTGTCAACTGCTTCAATGTAGTCTTAGCCGCCAATAAGACTGATAGAGTTTCTGTTGAGGTTGAATTTCGGTGGTGACGATTGAAATGGGTAATCATCGAGTTCAAGTTTTCTATATTTAGGATGAGTGCAGTACTATTTTCTTTTATTCTCAATTCGTGGAATCAAGTTTGACAAGGGTAGTATGACTGGTTTCCTGTGATGATTCAGTTTTCTGATTCTCTCAATATTTGCTGCAGTGAATTGACATTGTGTCTTGTGATTACTTTTCCAGGGTTAAGAGGCTGACAAAAAGTTCGGAAAAAGTAGCTGTTGGACTCCTATCTGGTGTGGTCAAAGTTTCTGGTTTCTTTACAAGTCCCATTGTTAACTCTAAAGCAGGGAAGAAGTTTTTCAGCTTTTTGCCTGGAGAAATCGTCCTTGCTTCATTGGATGGATTCAGTAAGTTCTTGATTCATCTTTGAATCATTATTTGGGACGGGGATGCTTGTAGGCACTTTATACGGCTGGATCAATATGAATTCTACAGCTGCTGACTGTTGACTTTGAAACTGTTATTCCTTTAACCTTAGACTGTGAAAGAATGAATTGTTTACTATGGAGCATTATATTTTCTGCATGGCGCTTCATCTAACCACTTTCTCTTCTGACTTTTGTGATTATGCAGACAAGATTTGTGATGCTGTTGAAGTTGCTGGAAAGAATGTCATGTCAACCTCATCAACAGTCACAACTGGGCTCGTCTCCCATAAGTATGTCTCGTCTCGTCTCTCATAGTTATATATATTCACTATCATATGCTCGGCAAGTTGGACCGGAATATTGTCTGTCTCATAGTTTCCTAAAACTAGGAAATTAATATCTTAGAACTCGGTGCATGAATGTAGTCATTTATGTGTACGATCCTTCTGAGGCCTCCATCTTATAGGAAGGATCCTGATATTCGGAATGCAGGTATGGAGAACAAGCAGCAAAGGCGACGAATGAAGGGTTTGACGCTGCAGGGCATGCCATTGGCACTGCCTGGGCTGTGTTTAAGATAAGGAAGGCTCTAAACCCGAAGAGTGCTTTCAAGCCAACATCTTTAGCCAAAGCAGCTGTAAAGGCTAGTGCTTCGGATCTCAAGTCTAAATCCTCGAAGTAAGGATAGCCAGAGTTCGATTGGTGTTGGTTGTTGTTTGGTTTGGTTTTTTTTTTTTTTTATGTACAAGGGATGGTGGGATTTGTTTGTAACCATAGATATCAGATTTGCTAGTGTTGAACTGAAACAGATTATGTGCTCTCTCCTCATTTTGTAATCAATGGCTTCACCTGAGCTCCAATGTGTAATGCATTAATCTTAAAACACTTCATTTTTATTCATAAAAAAAAAAAAAAACTTCATTTTCGACATGGAATGGTTCTTGCGTGGGAGGGGCTCTTTCTACTTGTTTACAGCACAGATTTATTCATTGGTGGCTAGTTCAAACCTGGCAAAGATGGTGATACACTTTATTCACTTTACGAGTTATATTCGCATCCTGCTTCACATGTCAAACTCGGCCGGCTTGAGCGAGATGATGAACTCTACTAAAGTAGCATCTCATATTGCAATCGTTGGTTGAGTACTTGAGTTGAGCCACATGGGTTTTCACTTTTGCTGGAGCAGTAAAAGCTTGGATGAGAAAACTAGGATTGTGTTCGCCATTTTGTTAATCTCTGTTGTACCACATTGGAATTTGGATGACAGGATGACTCCAGTTCACTCGAGGAAAAATGTGGGTGCCATCACCTTCATTTGAACGCAAGACTTGAAAAAAGAGGCCCAATAAGCTGTCCATTTGAAACTTGGGCGATTGGGCCACAAAAGGTTTGGCCTTCTCATAGTCTAATGGTTGGAGTCGTTCAGTTGTTTACTTGATAGAAGGTAAAAACATAATAATCGTATGATGAACAAGATCAGAGTTTTTGCATGTGAAACAACACAGCAATGACGTGAAATTGTTTGTAAACTAGGGTTTCTCAACCAATCCAAAAATAGAAGCAGAGAGGAAGAACAATGTCAAGGTGCTTGCCATTTCCTCCGCCTGGTTATGTTTGGCATGGAGTGGAAGGAGAGGCCTTGATTCAGTTGCTAATCAAGGTGATCGTTTCCTTCATAATGAGGTTCTTACACGCACCCTTATGCCTTGCGCTGATGGTTGTTGTTTGCTGCTTGTATTTTAAAATTTCAGACAAGAGACGAGAAACAAAAGCAAAGAGAGAAGAGGAGGAGGAAGAGGAAGCAACACGAGTGGAAGAAAAGGAGGTTGTCTGTTGTAATTGATCCCCTGGATGATTGTTCTGACAATGGCAACTACGTCAAGATGAAGAAGAAAATCAGTTCGCAATGTTTTAATTAGATTAAAACGTGATCATGAAGCATTGAAATACAAGTGTGGTGATTAAGAGTTGCGACATTTTTAAAGAAATGATCTTACCATGTAACAAATTGAATATATGCATATGAATATTTGACAACTCGAGACTGATCATGTATTTGATTGACTCTTTAAGACAAGATTCAAGGGGTGGCTTAGAAGTAGCATTTAGACCTTGAGAGGTATCCACTTTTTATACCATTCTAATTTGGATACCATGAAACGATTTGATAGTATGTGAGTTCAATATAATCATGACATTTTGAAATTGAGATTCTTAGCATCCTATATTACTATCTTTTTCGTCTCCGTCTAGTGGTTATAGTAACTTCTATAGATTGTTTTATTCTACAATATTAGGGTCATGTGTAGTTGATACGTTATCACTTAAAAAGGTTTTACTATGCAACTTCTTCGTCAAGTATATAATTAGCTAACATGGATAGTGAACACTATTGTACCAAATATTTATAGGACATTCACGACTATAAATAATTCATAACACAATTATCGTTTTATCGGTTGTTTTTTAGGTGAGATGAAAATTTATGATCTAACTAATTGCATAGGAAGGACTAAACTAATCTAGATGGAAGTTTGAGGGACCAATTGACAAAGAGAGATAGTAAAGGGACTCAATTGACTTTTTAGTTGCCCATCGAAAACAGAAATAAAGGGGGAAGAGCATAATTGCATTGAGGATGAGGATTGTGTCTTCATCCTGTCAAACTCGCTTTCGTTAAGTCACACGCCACTATGATCAATCGTCCAATTGGGAACAAAATTAGGGTTCGTGCTGATAAACCGGGGAAAAGTTCCAACATATTAAAACTCAAAGACCGCGATGGGAGGTTCCAAAGCTGCGATTGAGGTGGCCAAGACGGTCATCGAGGTGGCTGACGTGGCATGGACGGCGATGGAGTTCGGCCACCACCACCTCCACACCCACGATCAAGAAGAAACCGGTACCCAGGCGAAAGCAGCGGAATCACTCTCCGCAAATGAAGAATTGGAGGGCTTAAGATCCGAGAATCGGCGGTTGAAGAGTTGGTCGGTGCACAATCTCAAGCTCCTTCAGAATTTGTCAGAATTGCCTCGCTTGATGAATGATTGCCCTCCTGACGTGAGTACCCTTTTCTCAGTTTCTTTCTCGGATGTTACTTTATCGCAGAGTTGAAGTTCAATTTTGTTGGGAAAATGCAGTCGTGCGCCGCAGACTTCATTCTACTATTAGAATATGGGGTTATAGGTATAATATGCCCTTCTATTATGATGTTTTATCAAACATGCCCCTCTACTATTTTTTACATCAAATATGCCCCTGTACTTTGAAAAAATTATCAAACATGTCCTTCTGTTAAAATTTCCATTGAAAAAATTGTCAATCATGGTTGAAGTGAGATTTAGATGACCCGACATCGGCAAATGGGAGGGAAAATGTCAGTTTTGTCCCCTGTTTTATTTCCCTGGGTCTTTTCAAAGTGAAATTATTTGAATGATTTGATTATACAAAAGAACCAAAAAATTCTAAAGTAAATTTATTAGGCATATTTTCGTCATTTGTTTCGCCCAAACTAAAGTTCGGCCTTGGTTAACGGTTTTTGGATGAAAATTTTAACAAAAGGGCATGTTTGATCATTTTTACCAAGTACAGGGGCATGTTTAATGTAAAAAATAGTAGAGGGGGCATGTTTGATAAAACGTCATAGTAGAGGGGCATATTATACCTATAACACTAGATTATGGGATTTCGAGTGGCCGAGAGCCAAATTGTCTTGCTAATTAGGATAATTAGTGAGATATTTAGCTTTCTCTGTGTGATCTTGTGAGCATACGATTTTACGTTAAACTTACTGTTCTTTGATTGATAATTAGCAGAACTGCAACATTGTGGAGTTTTGGTTTCATCAATTACAGCTATATGCTCGTCTAGCTGCCACTGTGGATTCTGAAAAGTTCTTGAGTCAGCTTAAATCTCTTCAAGAGGCAACCAGAAATGGAGCTACTCCTGGATTCCCTTTCAACGAGGCTACAGGTATCCTACATATGCAATTTAGTGTTTTTCCCTCAGCTCATTGGTGAGGATGTATGCCTTTGGATACATATATTGAGGTGCACTCCTATTTCCTTGATCAGGTGATGACTTGCACAATGTGGAAGTTCTGATTAAGATTGACCAAGAAGAGCCTAGTAGGTGGGTATGGGTCACAAAAGAAATTATTCATGGCAATACTGAAGAACATACTGGAATTGATAATGAGTGTTACGTGGTCATCAACGAGGACCAGGTAGTTGATGCAGTTGCTACCTTTATGGCTAAGTGCGTCACTGCAAACCCAAAATCACAAGTATCTACCAAGCTATGAAGGTATTTTGTATGTTATTTTCTTATAACATGTTGTATCTTACAACGGTCCCCTACTTCGAAATGCAGAAACTTTCCCCCGAGGATCTCCAGAAAGGTGAGTTATTTGCCACCCTCCATCATGTCATTGGAAGCGATCTCTGGAAACTAACCAGTGTTGGATTTTTTTTTCTTCTAGCAATGCTATTGATCATATATGAAAAGGTGTTGATGACTGTAAATCTAATAGAAGTAGTCTCACGTATTGAGGATATCTTAAAGCTCCAAACATCAACTTTCCTATTCGTTTTCAATTTTTGTGAAAATAATATTCATATCCTTATATCCATTATGTACTCATATAACGAGCTTGTGAATTTGCAGCCATCACACAAGCTTTGGGTGGTGGTGGTGGTGTTAGCAAATTCGAGAGAGCAATGGATATTTGGCACGCTTGGCAGCTGTTTTATGCTCTTTCGACATGGGGAATTGCATTGGCAGGGTGAGTGTTTCTGCATTTACTTTTAGAATGGCATTGTTTATTTATTTTTCTGGTGAAATTCAGAATGGCATTCTCTATTCAACATTACATCGTCAATTGATCAAACACAATATGACTCTAAATGAACCCCCATTGATGCTAGTAGTTTGAACTGTAGTTCCTTGTTTGTTATGCAACCTAAGTTAATCAAGAGTCAAATAGTTGGGATCTTAACTCTGAATTAAGCACATTGACATACCTGTAGCACTTGGCGCGATCCAAGTTTTGCATTTTCATTTGCTTCGTCTTCTGGTTTTATGGATTATTAGGATAATGGCCATGGATCTTTACTGAATTAACTATATGGCTATACTCATATTAGATGATGCAATTTGTACAAGACTCAGGCCGTGTGGAAATATGTTGTTGTGGGTATTCACAAAACCAGCAAAGTCGTCCTCAAGGCTATGTGAATCAGAGGAAAGACTTCTTGTTTGATGTACATATAACGAACTTGCTTGGGCAGATTTGTCTCCTTCTTTCTCGATTTCGAACTACCCTCGTGTGATTGTTCAATCTCCTCCCAACTGTGTATATTCTCTGTAAATGTTAGTGGGGGTTAATGTTCACACTTCACAACATTGTGATATTTCAGTTGATTGTTTGATCGGACATCTATTACTAACTGCAATCTTCTGTTGCGTTTGGCAAAAGATAAAACAAACTATAACAACTCCATATTGGAGTGTATGAAGAAGGTAACAATGAAGACTAATTTTTCCAGTAAAAACGTTGTATCACTCCTAAAAGTCAGCTCCAACAAGGAACCAAATGGAAACCCGAATGGCCAAAGTTGGCAAAGTGGTGACATAATAGTTCTTGGATCTCCTGCGAGGGAGCATTCACAAGGTTCTTCGAATTCTAGTAATAAACTCAATTTCGTGGAAGCTTTAAGGGCATTCTTCTGTTCCAAAGAAGGAGCAAGTCTAATGGTAAAGCATGGACGTCTATCTTTCATCTAGCTCCGCAATTGTGGTTTGAATTGATGCAGATTGACAACCTGTCAAAACACATACGTTGATTAAGTACTCATGCAGTCATGCGTAAACCAACTATGTTGCATTGAACAGCGGGAAGAAAGACAAGCTTTTACTTGAGAGACTAAGCTTCTAACAAGGTCTGATGATTTTATGTCTCTGGGGACTTTCTCTTGTGATCTGATGAAGCATCTGACTGGGCCTTACCAAACACCAACCTGCCCCACGCAGATAGTCAGAGAAATGATCAAAATATACAACCAACACACCAAAAATAACGATTTTGGAAGAGATGTCTCGTATCATAGAGAGATTAGCAGGGTTAGACCTACGTAATGTGAAAGTACGTACCCACAAGTTGAACATTTGTCGTGATGCTTACAGAATATGGACAAGCAAACAGAACATACATAGCCCATGTCAATTGTTGTTTTATGGCAGAAACATTTGCAGCAACACAGAACTAAGTGAGTTGCTGCTTCATGATTGAAATCAATGACGGCAAAGAAATGTATGAAAAGAGAACAAACAAAATAAAAACCACTCACAAAGCACGGAAATCTACACCAGCTGGCCTTAGCAGTTGTAAGAAGCTTCTCGAGTGCAAGTCAACTGCAAACACAGTCTGCAGAGATAATGAGAACGTGATATCAAACGACCAGTTTATACCAAGTCCATTTTATAGCTGTAATTCTACATGGGATGTCACTATTGCAAAGTAAAACATATTGTCATTCTATAAGAAAAGAGAAAGAGACATATTGCTAAGTATTGATACAGCCCTTCCAAATATTGGGGCTTAACATATACACCTCCAATTATGTATGAAGCCTGTGGAGATAAAGATTGATCAGATGTTAATAACTACCTCCATCAGCAAAAGAATATCATGCGTAAGAATTTACTACCTGCTGCAAGAATGCAGAATTGTGAGAACCAACATAACAACAATCTATTGGCACCTGCAGTAGCGGCAATTAAGAGTGTTTAAGTCAAGTATCTCTGTTCAAACTTTGACAATACGAGATCGGGTTCTGAAGTAGTAAAACTGCTCAGAGCTAAACAAAAGCAGACAGAACCATTAAGTTATTTGAACAGAAAAAATTGTTGCATTGTAGTACCATTGAGCGCTGTGAAGAGAAAATTTCATTCATTACTGACACATATCTGGATGATCAAGAAAAGGGTCAGAGTGAGATCCAAAGAGGAAAAAAAACAAGCGACTTGAAGGAACAAAGAACACATTATTCAGATCCATCTGGAGATCCCTGCAAACACAAAATCTGCACTTGTCTGTCAGTGCCATGACCAAAGGAGAAAAAAATGTTGCCATAGGGTATATGCAACCATGAAAGACGGAAGAAAACAATGCTTAAATCCTCATGAATTTCAACCAATATTTGCTCTTATTTATCATGAGTTGAAGCATCAATAAGCAGGCTGGGGGGGGGGGGGGGAGGGGGTACAAGGAAAACATTTCAAATATTCTCCATGATAAGAAAAGGCTCATTTGAAGAACAAGACACATCCACTTATATGATAATTAGCCCATACAGCATTAGTTGGAAGTGGTGTCAAACAAGCAGATTGATAGTAGCGGGAGAAATGAAAAGGGAGGAAGACATGGAAATTGTAAATGCCAACTTATTGCAGCGGACAATTTTTAACATGTTATACGATGTACATCATTAAGCGTGTAAGCTGATATAATGCAGCGGACAATATCAGCATGTTTATGTACTCTCACACACACTAGTACAAAAGTTTATGAATTCATTTAGACATTCAAATTCTATACAACTAAGAATGCAAAATGCAAGAGAATGAACTACAAAAAAACCCTGACAAAGTAAAGACCAAAACTACAAAGAAAAGATACAACAGAGGGGCATCGAGAGTGAACCGGACAACAACGAAGACACCCGCTTCTCCGGGAAAGCTGCCTTCTTAGCCCCCGAATTCTCATCCTTACTCACGAACTCCTCTAATCTCTGTAATACAAAAGAATACAAAGTAGGCAATTCGCCTTCCCTGGAGACCTGATTCGTATCCAACGACGAGTCATAAATGTAATCACAGCTATAATGCCCAGCTGCAATGACCACAATTTGATTCAGTTGGCTTAGCAGCACAATTAAGTCAAGAAATACCAGCAGCTTAAGGGAAATGTACAATAGATAACCCAGTTTGATCAGCAATTAGAAAGGGCTAGGGTTTCTGGCAGTAAACAGGGGAGCGAGCGAGAGATCTACATGGGAGACGAACTGGTGGAAATTAAGAGAAGACAATGATGTGCTCCAGAAGAATGGATTGGTATCGATCAACACAACCAATAAGCTAACATCATCTGCAAAGTAAATTAATGACCTAAAAAATGAGTAGTGTGTACAATTATTCCCTCCTTACGCCGGACAATAAAGGGGAACAGAAGTACAAATCGTGCAAATTGACAGTGAGCTATAACTGTTAGAGCAAGAAGTTTACCTGAGATTTGCTTGGACGGAAGCGAAGCCATGGCCGACGACGATGGTGGACTATTGAAGAAGTTTTCCGCGAGAATGGCGAGGAAGACTGATGCTAGTGAACAACTAGCAGGCAGGCTACGAGCCCAGATTCAATAACTCCCTCTATCAATATTCCCCGAGACTCCGAGGGCCCAAAGTTTGGGCCTCCAAGCTATCAGCCCAAATTTACGCCTTCTGAAATTTTATCTACACCTAATAAATGGAAGGCTTTTGTGATCAGCACCGAGAAACGCCCGCAGGTTGTTTTGATGGGAGAGTACAATATTTTGCATCCCTAGATATTAGAAAATGACTCAAATGTTATATTGCAACAGTAAAAATTGCTACTTTTCTTATTGTAAAATGAGATTTTATCAAAATAACTTGTTGTGAGATATTACAGACAAAATGCTCATTCAAAGGAACAATAAATGAAAAATTATTTATGAAACTATTATTCATTCACATTACCATTGAGTTTGCACACGCTCATCATATATATCTTATGCTCTCATCAAATGTTAAATATGAGTTACACTCAAATCCACAAAATCTTTTAATTAAATTATCTAATACCAATATACCATGCAGAGAATAAATCAATTCCAATAACTCCTCAGCATATCTAATTATAATTATAGACAAAATAGTTTATGTATTTACAGTATTAGGTATCTGTTACCTCCCCTACCACATTTAAAGAAGTGGTTGGTTCGGGTTTGGTATGGCTTTCGTTTATCGATCTCTAGCTCTAGCTGCATCCTTCCGTCGGCAAACCTAATTGGTGTCATTAAAAGTTGTCTTAGCTAAGTTAATTACAACCAAACTTTGGGTCCCCTCCCCTGGCCGTGCCAAAACAAAACACTTTGGATGATAGCTGACCCATAATTATTACCATGCACGAGAGGCAAGCTTTTGCAAAGGCAGAAGCAGAATAGAGACCTGGAAACAAACCGGTGAGAAGGTGGGGATGGGATTTCTCTTCTCTTCTCTTCTCTCTTTTGTAGGATGATAAGAAAGCTCAACTTTGAGAAGGAGACATTTCTTGTTAGAACTCGTGACATTTCTGGTTACGCATCATCAATGTTCGTAGTAGTAGTAGTACGAGTGTTGGCGTTTTAGTACTAGAGCTTTATTATGTGAAAGGAATGTTGGTGACGGTAATGGGAGATAACGTTACTTGGTTGGAGGAGGATATGAGTTAACCTAATATTCGGTTTCAGTACAGATCGAGTTTCTGGTTTGCCGACGCGAAAGGGAAGGGGAAAAGTGTCCAATTGCATATAAGCGACAAAAAGGGGACTGACACTGCCCTCTCCTGACTCGCTACCTACCCGTTTTATGGTCGATAGGATAGAAGCCACTTCCAATCAGATATAAAGAGGCCTAGGAGAGTTTTGAGGTCAGTAGTTAGGGACATTAAGATTTGAGATAGATAGATTATCACCCTGGTTGGTTTTGGATTTCTCGTTAGACTAGAGTCAGATCATACTATGTGAGAATCGTAGTATATGTGGGTAATTGTTAAACTATGATCAGGAAATTTAAAGATTTGTAACATGTGTAAGAATTTAAATTACTCATCAAAGCAATCTAATAAGAACAAGGGTTCTTTTAAGATTTGAATGTTTTAAGGTACCTAAGACTAGAATTTTAGTTTTGAAGTGAAAAATGAATTTAGAAATTTGTTGTGGGAATTTATGAGAATTTATTCAAAGTTTAGTTCTTTGAATGATTTAAGTTTTGGAAAATGTTTGGAATATTCCATTTTGAGAAAAATATTTGGAAGAGTTAAAGGGCAATTTTTAAGGAATTTTCCGACTAAGTATCAAAGATGAGAAATTCTAGTAAGTTAAAGGGGCTAATTAAGTTAAATGAATACCGACTTAAAAAGGAATACTTTCCGTTTATAGGTTGAAGAGAGCAATCGGATTATGGGTTCTACGTCAAAGGAACTAATTAAGGAACCGTCACTTAAAAGGTGAGTGGTTGAAGGGGATAAATTTTACGTGTTACAAGTTTTAAGGCGTGTGCTTTACCTGAACTTGCTTGCCAATATTTAACGTCATGAATGTTTGAGACTATGTTTGTGTTGATAATGTGTGCCCTTCGTTTGAGGTGTTGTTTGAGGCATTTGTCTATAAGTTTTCAATATCTACCTTCAAGCATTTAAATTTATGTTTTGCTATGAGAGTATTTACGATCTTTAAGAACAAGTATTAGTAGTACTTCACCTCTATGTAATTAAAGTGAAAAGGTTAAGTGGTAGTTCACTAACGCGAGTCCACAGTCCCAATGAAAGTTTAGAGGAAGAGCACAATATGCTCTTAAGGTTATGAGGATGAATCAATAAGACCTCTATAAAGGATAAGGATAGGTCTAAGTAGGCCCTCATACGTATGAGTTGGGAGGTTGGACTAGTTAGTGAAGGGATCCCTAAGTCTGTCTAAAGTTTGAGTTTCTTAGAGTGGCGAGTAACAACTCCCACACTTTTAAGCCTTAAAGGGTGGAAGTAATAACAACTTCCACAATTTTAAGGTGAACACCTAAAGGGAAAACACTAAAGTGCTTTGAGGGTTTTTAGTAACGACTAAGACTGACCCCACCCCATTCACCAGGTCGTAGATAAGGTACAAGGGAGCACCCAATTCAAGAGCAGCCAGCTAGAGGAGAACATTACGAGCGTCGATGAATATGTCAGAATATGGATCCCAGTAAGCAGTCGCCTGGACCTTTAGTTATTATGCTTTACGATTATAGTAAAGACTAGAGACTAAGATTAAGTTTTTATTGTTTGCAAAAGTGTTTAGGGCTTTGTTTTAAGTATGGCAGTTTACTTTTAGTATTTATGATTTGAGAACAATGTTATTTCAGTTTGTTTGAGCAAGTAATTTCTTTTATTTCAAAAAAAAAATTAAGTATGATCCAGAACAAAACCTTCCTTGAAAGGTTTTAGGGACCAGGGTGTTACAAAACTCGCATCACGTAAAATGCTAAGTTATTACGGAAACCTTACATAATGTTTCTGATATAACAGTAACGTAAGAAATAACTATCGTTCCGTAATCTTTACATAATGAATGTGTATTTTATGTAACAGTTCTAAAGTGTTATTATGGAAGCGTTATGCAATGGATGATCTTTTATCATAATAAGCATTAATCTTGTGTTACGTAAAGTGTAAGCCTTAGTAACGCTTCTTATTTAAATGTTACATAAGAAACAACTTTTGATTCATAACCTTTACATAATTGATACATATTTTACATAACATTTGTAAAAGGTCAATAAGTTATGACCTACAACGTTAGTTACCACTATTTAGGTAACTAACGGTTTGTTATGGAAAACGTTTCACAAAAGTATGTTTCTTGCCACACAAGTCATATATAGAAATCGACACATGCATAAACAACGCCCGAGCCAATAGAATTCACTATTTCCTTAAGGAATTTAGTTCCCCTCTACGGTACCCAAGGTTATTAGAACTATTCCTCCCAGGATAGAACGGACGTACCTTTTCTGGCTGTACCGGTACTTGAAACACCAGAATCCGACGAACGCAACGATCGGAGAGAAGTCACACGACTCTGTTTTCCTTTATGAGTTTGTAGAGAGGAAATGCAATGAAGAATGAAAAATTCTTTTATCTTTTGGCCAGAAAAATTTCTTGGGAAAAATCTTGTGTCGAAAACAGAAGGGGGTAGGTGTTTATTTATAGACAATGAAGGGGTGTGAGTGAAGGGATGTGACCCTTCAAGTGGGCGGTTACACCCCAACCATTGCAATGGTTCAGTGAAGGGATGTGACCCTTCAAGTGGGTGGTTACACCCCAACCATTGCATCGGTTCGCCATAGTTGTTGAACCGGTTGGTTCATTCCAACCGCCACATCGGTCCGGTCCGATTCGGTTCAACTTGGTTTAACCAATAACTCACCAACTATTGGCTTCTTCCCCTTTCATTCTCATTCACACATTTCAAATCCCAACAATCCCCCACATGAAAGAGAATGCTAAGTTTTGAAAACTATGCAAAAAACTGTGTGACTCTCAACTAAGAATTAGTTATATTAGGATAGGTGGGTTTCCCTTTGAACCTTCCCTAGTGAACATATATCGAGTATACTCACCAATCGGTAGATATGATATCTTTGAACCGTCGGTTTTTCTTGTATACTAAGACAACATATGTCACACAACCAACTCTTATCCGCTCGTTGGTTCTCATTGTTGTGTTCGTTTCAGCCATGAACACCGCCTGGTTTCATGAGTGTGTAGAGAATTGGCCTTCTTTTATTCTCCTTGAAGCGGCTCCACTTCACACTCACATAGGTGATGTCTAAACATGTATTCCGAAAAATACACTATTTGATCACAACACTTGTCAAACTTAGAAACCATTAAAAACCTTTCATATTTAGGTTTACCCTTATATTTTGGACATTGTCTCATCATGAGAATGGACTTTGAATAAGTTGACAATGTCGGACCATCATTCACAACTTTGTTTTCTCCTTGAACCTAGAGGTTGGGTCTGCCAATCCTGCTTAGGTAGAGTTACCGCCATGATGATTTGTCCTAGGCCACGAGTCCATTCCCTTCGATGCTATCGTGAATTTCTAGGTAGGCCCAACGTTTGTTATCACTTGATCTAAGATGATCAATCCAAATAACTTTGCTAGAAATTAATCAATCCATAGTGTCACGTTTCCATTATCTTTGACGAGATTTATCACATAACACTCCTAGCCCTTGCAATAACACCTTTGTGCACAAGTGCGTTTTATTAACGTCAGTCTTTGCGGGCCAAACTACTCAACTTCACCGGTCTTAGAGTTTAAATTGGACGTTTTCCATGATACTGCTCCTCGTTAACCATAAATGCCTATCCATTAATGGACTATGGCTTTTGGTTCATCCGGTGAGTTCCCTTTGGGTACAATACACCAAAGACTCGTCTCTTTTCAATTCACTACACATCTTGTGATCTTGACTTGATTTTATTGCCTTGCAATAATCATAACACATGCCAACGGTATTGAAGTCTCTCCACTTCATTAACCTTAAAGTACTTGAGCTTCACAAGTATC